GTCGGTCAGTCAGTCCGGTCTAGGTCGGTCTAGGCTAGTGGTAGAGTATAGATAGGATGGGGACATCGGTCCTGGGCTTTTGGCAGTTGACACTTCGTGGTGGAAGTTGCTGCGCAAACGGTATCAGGTCGTGGTTGCTGATTCCCGTGGTGGAGACGGCGGACATAGCCAGACCTTCGGAGTGCTGACCAGACTGGGGTCAACGCTGTCCGCTCTGACTCTCTGGGAGTCAAAGCGATCTGGGCTATCTGAGGTCTGATGCGTTGGAGCACGTGGTGCACTGCTGACCCTCCTCAGCAGTAGGGTCCCAGTGGCGATGCAGCCATAGCTGCATCTTATCAGAGATTATCATCGTCTGGACTTCATCTTCATCAGGGACTGTTGGCGCTGAGCTTCTTCTTCATCATCTGGACGGCAATTGGCTCTGGGAGTCTGTTTCACTTCGGCGCAGGCCACTGAGTTGGATGTCAGGGTGGCGCTGGGTGTTACCTGGGGTTTCGGTGCTATTTTTAGCTGTTCAGGGTGTTGGGGTTGAGGCTCTACCTCTCCGAGGGTAGCGCAACAGGGTTCTGAGGTTATTCAGGGAGAACGATGCTCTGAGTTTAATAAACAGTTGTAATACTGTGTTTGAGTTGTCATCTGTTCATTGATTTCTGGCTGTGATCACTCGGTTGTCTTCTATGAATGATTGTTGGGATCTGCGAGAGAGAATTCACAGGTTGTGTGTTCTGTCACTTCGCTCCTCTGAGTCTTCCGCTGCGTTTCTTCCTGTTGGGCGGTGTGATACTCCACTACCTCTCTCCTTCCTTCTGTGCATGTATGGGCGTGTACGGGAGTTCCTGTGAGTGAGTGTTGATAAAATTTCAACAGACAATCATGTTCATAACACTCCGCCTCCCTCCCGCCATCACCACTTCTCTGCATGTGGGGAAACGGCAGATTCGGGCACTTCTCTGCATGTGCAGCAGCCCCCCATCACAACTTTTTTTTTCTTTTTTTCTTTTAATACCTCACAGGGGTGACCCGTGCAGCCGCCCGGCTGTGCCGGCCCGGCCGGGCGGCTCAGGAAGCCTAGCTACTAGGAATAATTTAATCAACAGGCCATGAGTTCAATCCTGATGAATTCAATCAAGTTAGGGGCTGCACCCGTTTCAAAAGAAATGAGGAAAAAGTGAAAAACAAAAGCACAGTTTAATAAAGAAAAAAAACAGAAAAAATGACCAACCTCCTGGGCATAGCGAAGGAGGTCCTCGCTGCTGAACCCAAAACCATCATCATTATCATCATCGCTTGCATCACGCACATTCTCTCCTTGGCGGTTATCGTCCAGCCAGTCTTCGTCATCGTCATCATTTCTTCCTCGTGTTTTGCGGCTCTTCTTAACCTCGTTCCTTCTTCCTCTAGCTTTTCCCAAGCCCTTGCTATGGCGCAAACCATCCCTTCTCGTTCTCTCTCTCCCATTTTCACTAGACGCATTGCTTTCGTTCTCCTTCTCCTTCTCCTTCTCCTCAGCCGCTTGCCGTTCGCCGTCATCCTCTTCCTCAACCCTGTGCACTCTCCGGCGATTCCTTTTTTTCTGCACGTCCTTTCCACCCTCCTCGTCCTCGAAAGGCCTCTGCTGATTTTGGTTGAACACCCCCCGCCTACCAACAGCAGCCGCAGCGGCTTTCTGAACCCGCCCTCCTACTTTTTCGTCGATTATCGATAGGACTGAGCTGTTTTCCATGTTCTCCTCTTGTATCCTTCTACTCCCGTGAACTGCGGCTTCTTCGTCTCTGGCCTGTTGCCTGCCTGCTTGCCGACTGGTCGACGAGGGACTAGCGTCCAGATCGTCCTCACTGCTGTCGCTGTCTATCTTGAAACCACCCACAGCCTTTCTTTTCCTCGGTGCCGGAGGCCGAGCGGTCAGCGCTCGCTTTGCAGCACCACGCGCTCTGCACTTCTTCGACTCGCTTCCGTCCTGCAGGTCATCATCACCTTCAGCAGCGGCTTTGCTTCCCTTTCGCTTCGTTTTCGGCAATGGAGCCACTTCTTTTGTCATCCAGCTCGGGAGCATCCTTCTTCCCGGTGCAATTGTGGTCCTGGGAGATGCGTTTTCTGATTGACAAGGCTTTGGTATAGAAACCCTCGCTGGATCGTCAGTCGACAAGCCCGGGCCATCTTCCGCTAACTTGGAGATGGGAGGTGGTTCCGCGGAATCCGCCACTCTTTTGCTCAAGGAAGGTTCCACCCAAGTGTTGAGCGATTGCAGCTTTCCTTTTCTGGCGTTGCCGTCAGTTCTCATCGCTCCTGAGGATCTCCTCTTGTTGATCTGCAGTCCCCTCCCCATTGCAAAACAACCCATCATAAACAACCCCTCAGCTGTCAGCATCATCTGCAATATAACTCCAATAAGTTGGGTTCGGTTTAGACTCTAGAGTCCTTCAGACTGTTTAGTGGTCCAGGCCCCACCTACGCTTTGTTCATGCTAGGAAAGTAAGAACATGGCTGCTATGACGGTCAGGTTCATACTTTTTTCTAGCATGAATATAGCATCAGTGGGGTCTGGCCCCCAAAACAGGCTGCCGTTGCTGTACTGGATGGTCACTCGCATTTTAATTTTGAAATTCAAATTCAAATTCAACATCTGAAATCATGATCCTATTCATGATCAGCTGTTAAGTCAGAGCAATTGAGCTATAAAGCTGGGAAAAAAAAAAAAAAAGTCCGGTCCTAATTTCTCCTAAAGCTGGGATATAATGGGTTGGGGGTGGGTGGAGGGAGGGAGGGGGGGGGGGCAGACACTTTCCCCATGGCTGATCAACCACCAACTCATCTTGCCCCTGATTTCTGAGTAACACCGTGTCAGAAGCCTGGATTCCTGACCTGCATTGGGTCTGCAGACTCTGCACCTGTATTTGGAGCAGCACTTGGCGGGGTCTAGTGGAAAGAAGAGTTGGTCGCTGAAGTATTATATCCATATGATACAATGATGATGTACAATCATCATAGGTATTTCCCCCCTCCGTCGAACTCAGGTCCACTTGCACTTG